CCCCCCCCCCCCTAGCTGGGAACACTAGAAACTGGGCGTTGTTTGATCTTTGTTGGCTCTGAGCGCCTACAGCCTCTATTGTGTAGCGCCTACAGCTTCCACTGTAGAGTGTGCTCACGGATACGTGAGGCCAAAGCCACGCGTTTTCTTTTTACGTGTTGGGGATCCGGGGCTCGTTGGCTGGGTTCAAAGCCCCTCCCCTGGTTTCATCGTGAGTCGCATTTTCGTCTTATCTGTGTTGTGATTTCCAGCTGTATATAATGTGATTGTTATTCCGGCAGCACATAGTATCATTCGTATCGCTTGGTGACAATAGGAACGCTGGATGTGTCCCCGTTTTCTTATCGGCGACGTCCGTCAATGGCAAGCTCAGCGCGGCAATGTCTGCAGCAACCAGAAGGCGGTGTTGGTACCTCCGCACGGAGGTTGCCTAGGCTCGTGCAGGGAGGCACACCACTGCAAGCGTTCCCTGCTACTACAAGCACGTTGAAGGACTGGAGCAGCAGACCCATGCCCGCCTACCCGTCAAGGGCAAATAAAGTAGCACCCCAAACTCGACGGTGGTTATGCGGATGGATACCTTTGATTCCGAGAACAGCGAAACGGAATACACCTCGAGGGATGTTTTGTGTGGTTGGCATCCCATTCATTCTGGACATCGGTTTGTGTCGCCTCTCGGTATGCATACGATTTCGGACGCACCAGGCGGGCTTCGCTTTAGGGTTAAAGTTAGCCTTTTAAGTCATCTGAAACTAGCATAAAGAAAATATCTTAGGACTACATGGTACACCACACGAGAGAGAAGAATGGTGCTGCAGCGTTCGTCGGCTCCCCGTGGCGGAAAAATGCCGTCATCGCTGTTGGGCACCTCTTATTGGCCAATGCACCCCTCTCGCGGGTGCTCAACTCTTACGTTCCAGGAACGCCTGACAGTCTGCCCCCTATTTACAAAACCTTCCGTGCGAACAGGTCGCACGTCCAGCACACGCGGCACACGATCATCAATCGTTTCCCCTCTCGGAGCTGCGCAAGCCTCTGATCGATCGCGTCCTTACCACGCTTTCCGTGCCCCCACACTACCAGCAACCTGTTTCGCACAAAAACCTTGACACAGATTCTCTCTCTCACACACGCACGTGATACATGAAACCGTTGCGTGCATGTCCGAACCGCAACTACAGTACGACACGTGTAACTCCTACTTACCTCTCTCATGTACAACACCAAACATTCCGATTTCCACGCACGCGCCCTCAAGAAAAGACACACGAAGCCGCTCATAATTTCGAAGAGATAGAGGTGACGGGTACCCGAAAGTGGGCGGTGACCTACCCCGCAAAACTGCAACGAGTGGCATGTAACCCACCCTTTTCGGCCCCCTGCTATTGACACGCGCGTGCGCTGCTGCTGCTGTCTTACCTATTTACGGTACCGCGTGTTGGTTTCCGCCTCGCATTGGCAGGTCCCGCTTCATCATGCTACAGCCGTAACACCTACCCAGAAACGCTTGAGAGTGACTCTTGCTACAATGAAAGTGCCAAAATTTGATGTACACCAGCCCCCACCCGTGCGCCCCTGAAAGAGGTCGGCTCTGCCCGAATCACCCTCCACATTATTTTGATTCAAACAAATACAACAAACAGGCTACAGACCGACAAATTACCCGTGAAGCGACTTTCCGTTTTCCCCACTCTCTGGCAAACAGTCTGCCCGCGGTCCTCCCGCTTCCTCTCCGCGAGCGCAAACGGACGAAAACAGGCATCAAGAACAGAGTGAGCTCAACCACGCCACCTGAACGATCCAAACCATGTACACATAACCATGCACACAACCACAACTTCTTGTTGGCGCCTCTTGGCGCCGCTCTAGCGCCACCGCCCCCGACGTCCCATCACACCACCACCGCCACCACCTCAATTGTATCACCGTGGCAGGCGGAATTCCCAAGACACCTCCACGACGCCTGCTCACCGATCGTATCTCTGCCCCAAACAGGTAGGTCCCTCGCACCTTCTCTCGCAAAGGATGCTTCTACACGACCAGCGCTGCTGTGTGGGTTAACGCCCGGCGGGACGTACCGTGGGATGCCTGTCTCCCCATGCTACGACCGGATGAATTAAGCCGGCCACAAGGGCCCTGCAATGTCGGGCGGTACAGCCGTAGTGGCAGCAGCAGCAGCAGCAGCAGCAGCAACGATTCTTCTGGGCGTACGTGTACTCCAGCCCCTTCTCCTCGAGGAGCCGGCCTCCTTCCTATACACAACGGTTTTCGCCCCGCTCGATGCAGGTATCCTCCCGTCGGAATCAAGCTCAACACGGACCTCAACGCCCAAACAGCGTCCGTCCCTCGTCATCCCCTCCTCTCTCTCTCTCTCTGCCGCGCGCGCTTCTTCCTATTGTTCGCTCGCCACGACTCCCTATCAGCCACGCTTCTCTCCTTCCTCACGCTAGCATCACTCGGGCATAGACACGCGTTCGAACGACGGGGTTCTAAGCCACCCCCTCTCCCTCTTTCCAGCCGCCCCCACCCCCGGATCCCCCCCCCAACAAAGCACCTCCTTCACTCTCCTTTTCCTCTTCCCTCAGGCTCGTCGGCATCGTCGTCTTCCACGTTCACCAGGCCCGCGGCGCGGTCTGCTTCCCACTTGTCCTCGAGGTACCTCCTGAGGACCAGGCCGTGGTCCGCCGGAACGGTCTCAAGGGCGGTGGAGATGCGCCTGGCCACCTCGATTCTTGCGTCCATGACCAACTGGCCGATCTTTTTTTTGTGTGGTGTGGAGTAGGCGGGGTCGTGCCGTGCCCCCGTGTGTTTGGTTTTTCGTGCGCGTGTATGGCGGGGGG